TGCTGAATGCCATAGACCCTCTTCACCACCCTACAAAACTGCTGCTTCTGTGCCAGCAACCTCATTCAATGCTGAGCACTGCCTACTGCCAGTGACGTACTGGTCACTGTCTGGTTCCATCTGCTTCCAGCACTGGTCTGTCACTGCACTTGCTGGTCAGGTGTCCCTCACTGGTGACACCCCCTGCCCTGGTCACTGCCGTGTCCTACCAGCCAGCACTAACTCCATGTACACACAGATGGCTAGGCTGTACTGTGTCCCTTCTGACATGGCACTACCCACCTGCCTCTGCTGGCTCACCATAGCACTGGGCTTCATCTCCTACCTCAGCCCTAGTTGCAGACTCTGCAAGTGTCACCACTGTCACCAAATCTACAGCCCATGGAGCTGCATCTCCCATCTGCACCCAGAACCCGCACCAAGGCCTGACTCCTGCTGGCATTGCCCATTGCCCATCTGTACCTGCCACTCTTCAGTTAAGAGTGACCCATGGCTGTTGTTTTCCCCTCCCGAGGTTATGAAGGTGGCAATTTGTTGAAGGTCCTGAAGGACATTGAGCACAGCACCGAGATCATGCTGGACCGGTGGCGAATTGATGTGATCCCCAACAACGAGGAGGAGAATGGGGACCCTGTCCCATACAGCATCATCAACAACTATTTCTCCATTGGAGTGGTGAGTAATCCAAGAGTCCCCTTTCCCACAAGGAAGCACCCTGTCTGGCTGAGGTAGGGTCAAGAGGAATTCATTGATCCTGGTTGCAGGCAGTAGTTGCACCCTAGGTCCCCTAGCACATGCTGTACTAGTGATTTGTCCCAAGCCTTCGTGCCAGCCACAGAGTTATTATGTATATTTTGTGTAATAATGCTGTGGCTTTTATCACACCATTCATTGAAAGAACATGTGACCAGGTCATTGCTTAAGACATGATGTCTTAAGTGTAATGTTTGTCAGGTGCTTTAAAGTCAGTGTGTGACTTTATGCTGGGTTGTAAACAGCGTGACAGGCCGTTACACCATGCAGTTAGTTCTTGGATGTCTTTTTGGAGCCGTAGTGGAGCATAGGGCTGGAAAGGGCCTTCCTGGCCATTGAGCCCAGGCTCCTGCTTTCCAGAAGCTATTGGCACAGCGCTGTCCAGAACTATAAAATACAATACAGTCCTGGAGCCCTACAGCCCTTGCTCATGTTGAGTAAACCTTGTTCACACAGGCCATCGTCTTGAAGCTCATTAGAAATGTGTCCTTACTGTATACAGTGTCACTTGTCAGTCCAGACCCTTCATAGAGCTAATTGAAGATAACTTCCCAGGGCTTGTCTATACCAAGATGGCAGTAAGTCCTGGCAGTGAGGGGCATGGACTCACCCTGCCTATGTCCTGATCACCTGCTCCAAACCTGGAAGTTACCCATGAGGCTACCCCAGGTTTGTCCCTCTGTGGCCATTCTCAGGTGTGACATAGATCAAGAGAGCAAGAGCAACCAGAAAGAGAGGAGCCAGGTGCATCCAGACTGACCAACTGCCTAATTTGTAATGTGTTTGCAGGCATAGGTCAGCAGGCTGGTGACAGGACTCACTGCTGTGTGGGATAGACAAGTCCCCAAGGGCCTCACCAAGGTGGGACTGCTGCTGGCCCTGCAGGCCGGGGGGTACAACAGTCCGGGGAGCAGGCTGAGATTCCTATGGGACCATTGTAGAGGTGGAAAGCTCAGGGCAGGAAGGTGCTTAATGGTGACTGTGTTCCACCTGTGAGCTACTAATACCCTCTCCATGCTGACCTGGGGAAGCCTGGTCTGAGCCTGGGCTCTCTGCAGAATAACAAGCCCACTGAGAACCACAGAAATACTTTCATCAGAACGGATTTTGGCCCAGTCTCGCTATGCCTGGCTGCTTCTAATACTTGCTCCAAGCTCAGGCAGATCTCTGCTCTCAGATCTGCCCATGCTGTCCCTTGCTGTGCTCCTGCCAAGTGATTTCAACACTGCTGCCCACAGGCATGGAGCTGTTGTACTTGTGGAGTTGTGTGATCTCCCAGAAAAGCTTCAGTCTGCAATAAAATGCTCTGCTTGGGCATTATTATTCCCCAGTCATATTCACTGGCATTTTCCCAGGGAGACCCACATTGTTATATTGCTTCCTGGTACTTTTATGCTCGTGATATATTTTTTTCCCTGTCTTTATGGCTGTTTGCAGCACTTCTTAATTCAGGCTCCTCATCAGATGGACCCCTTACAGTTTGACAATCTTTCTTAAACATGGAGAATAAGGTCAGGGTTAATGTTTTCTAGGCACGTTGGGGCTTGTCTACACTGCAGTGGCAGTGTATCCCCATGCTGGAGTGGGGTGTGAGTATACCCAGCAAGGCTGCTCCAAGGTCATCCTTAGTGCCCACTCTTAGACCTGCCAGGGACTACTCCTAGGTGACCTAGGAGCTTAGATCCTGTTGACCTTCAGTGAGATTTGGGCTCCCAAATGCCTTGCTCACCTTTGACAATGGGACTTTGGCTATTCAGGCAATGATGTGCTTCTGAAACTATTAAGCCAGACCTCCAGCACCTGCCAGACCCCTTCCCTCAATAGCATGCACTTCTGTTTCTTCCCAGAGATTACTCTCAGCTTATTTTCCTAGAAAAATAGAATCATCATAGAGCAGTCAGGCTGGAAGGGAGCTCCAGAGGTCATATCTAGTCCAGCCCGCTGCATGAGACAGGATCAGCCCTGTCTAAACCGTCCCAGACAAATCCATCACCTAACCTCTCAGTAAAATGACCCTCGGCTTTGACATAACACAAGACATAACATGCTAACCTGCCACAGGTAAAGCAGCCAGTGGCCTGCTTCTGTTTTCCATTGAATGGCGTTGTTTTGGGAAGGTTTAGGGGCCCAGGTGCTGGGTTGACCTCCAGAAGGAACCTCAGGAAGGCTTGAGCTGAAACGTCATCATGTGGAAATAGGGAAAGGTCTAGAGCCAGGGGGGCTGGCAAAGGAGCCGGGTATTTACCTAAAAAAAGAAAAGGCTGGCTGTTATTTTTGTGGGGAGGGATGACATGACACATGCTTGTCCCCATCCTGAGAGCTGCCCTGTGAACTTCAGCTGTTTCCTCCCACTCTGCCCCTCATTTGACCTGACTCCTACAGATTTACACACGTGCCTGTCTTGACATGGGCAGGTTCCCTGGTAAAGCCATTGGCAGTTGCACTTCTGCTCATGCTCCAAGCTCCATCTTTGAGAGCACCAGGGAAGACCTCGGCCTGAGAATGCAATTCCCTTTCCCTTCCACGGGACTACCCTTCCTGGTCTTTGGAGACAGGCACCGGAGCCAGGATTCTCCAGTGACTCTTCATGGGCCACTGGTGACCTGTGGAGCAGTTGCTGGTCACTTGATGCCCATTCTCCTGTTTATGTCCAGTTGCTAAAGTACACGAAGATGGCTAAAAATATAGGGGATGCTTTACTATGTAAACAGTTGCTATGGTTGCCATGGCAATGTTATTAGACACCAGATGGGAAGGGAGGTGGCCCATCCTGCAGGCAAATGGGAGGGGAGGTGTGCCCTGGGCTATCTGGGCCGTAAGGCTCAGTCCACACTTGGAAGAGTTTAGAAATTTCTACTGGCTTTGTGTGTGGGCGTGAAAACATCATCAGACATTTGCAAGCTATTTTTCCTTCCCACAAACTGACTGGAGGCAGTTAATTCACAACGCACAAAGTACTTAAATGCTTCAACTCATACTCCAAGTTAAGCCCAGGCTTTGTTCGGTGCTTTGTTTAATCAGGGGCTTCAGCCTTGATGCATCTCTAATTAAATTAAAGCCAGGACTTTAGCTAATGTTATAAAGTGGTCTCCCAACCTTTTGTGGCACTCAGTATGACCTTAGTTAGTGACAGGGCTGCAGCGCTAGATTGCCATCTAAAAATAGTCTTGGGAATCTCGCACATTAGCCATGTTCCTAAAGAACCAGCAGGAAAATCATTCTCAAGCTATTGACAGGTACTTTGCCTGCTGCAATCTTCATCACATGGCCATTTCCTACCCTGTGAAATCAATGCAGGACATGAAAACAGAGTGCCTTTCTGCTTGGGAAACAGCAGCTCTAGGTGCTTTTGCTGCAGCAGCACCACTGTTGGTAACAAAACCAAAGAACATGCCAAAACAAATCTCTGTTTCTTATAGCATGGGTATGTTATGGGATCATTTTCCTCCCAGTAGACCAGGAGTTTCCCAGTCACCCTTGGAGGGAAGGAATTAATGTCAGCCAGTCATATCAGCACCCTGTCGCCAACATCTTGTTGGTCCCACATGTGGACCTGGTTTGGATCACGGGCACGAATGGCGCAGGGCCCATTCCAGCCCTGTCACCAGAAGACAATAGTTTCAAAGCAGATAGAGACAATTTCACATGCAGTCATTTGTGTTTTTCACATGTTTTCTGTTTAAATCTTTGTTACTGGTAACCCCTGAGGCTCAGCTCAGAGTCACAATGTACTTACGTACATCAGCCACTTTTCTGTATCATGGTGGGCCCTGAAAGGGCCCCATTCACAAAAATAAGACCTGGAAGTATTTGCTACATCCAAACCATCCTCACTGTCCATTCTGGAAGACTGCAAGGTACTGGCAAGCAGATAAAAGGGACAGAAATGAAAGCATAGCTCATACTTGGGAATCTCAGCGCTGACAGAATGCCTTTAAATAATGCCATTGATGATGGGATGTTTCAGTCTTGGGGAGCTAGGCTGCCACTTCCTATCTCCTCCTCCTTTATTTTGGGTGTTGATCCATGGCAGGCAGGAGTGATATCATTGACAGGAAGTTTTGGATTGCAAATAGTTTTTGTGCTATGTTTAACTCAGGGCTCCCCAAAGGTTCTGTCACTGGGTCTTAGGTGATGAATAGGCTGCTAATCCCTTGATGGAGTGAAGTGTATTTCCAGGGTTACCTGAACTCTGAGACTTGAAAGAAATCCATTGGCACTATTACTGGGGCATTTGAAAACCTACTTAAGTGGCTGACTTGATACCTGCATGCTCACATGGACGCTGCATCCGGTCACATGACAAGCGTGGACGTTAACACATTTCTAAACAGGCACTGTTGTTAACAATGTCACACGTGGGCCAACACTGACACATTCTCCACTGCTTGTTATTGCAGTTAATCTCCCGTGTGGGATCATTAGCATGGCACACATGGAAACTGAGAGGGAAATTGTGCTTATTGGAGCATGGCGTAATCACCCTTTTCTATCTGCTGCTGAAGCGGGAGTTAATCTGTATCATCTCACTGGCTTTTTAAACCCAAAGGCATTTGCCCCATTTTTACTTAGGCCTCTTTGATGAATTAGCACTAGCCTTCCTTGTGTTAAATCTTGACTCAGTAATTCCAAAGCAGGAATGCCTTCTCCCGGTCCCCAAAATCCTAGAATAACCTAGAATTTCTGAATCACACCGGAGAACCTAATGGATAATTCTAATCCTGTCGTGCCATTGCATGGGACGACTCAAATAGTCCATAGAAAGAATAGTATTCCGCATCCTTAGTCAAATAGGTTGCCGTCTACACGGACCCAGGAGTGTGACTGTGCTAAAAATTTGGTGACAGTTGTTAATATATGTTTAAATCAAGCTCAGTAGATAATAAAGTTTATTTTTAGTTTTAAAATAGCTTTGAAATTGTAGGAAAGCAAGACAGAGATATAAAACAAGATTTGTCATATATTCCTTCTGCTCTTGAGACTTGCTGTTCTTTGAGCTCTGAGGGAGGGAGTGCAAGTAAGTTTGCTCCACTATGCTTTCCCTTACAGTAGCTGGCCATTCTCAGATTTGGCCTCCTTCTACAGATCCTGTCTTTCATGTGTGTAGGTTCCCTAGGTAGGAGGCTATTAGCTAATTGTGCCTTGTTCAAGAAGCCCATTCAAAGCTCTTCTAAACAGGATTGGATTTGTGTGTCCTCTGGCAATAGTCCAGTCCACTCCTGGAAGCTCTCCTGGGTAGCAGGGCCTGAAGGTCAAGTGGCTGCCTAAGCCCTGCTCCCTGCAGTGTTTCCCCAGCTCCTCCGCAACTGGCCTTTTCTGCACACCACTTTACCGCCCATAATCAGAGTAAAGGAAAGAAGAAGGGTAAGTGTGATTCCTAGAAGAGCTCTACTCAAGTTTCCTGTTCCTGTTCTTCTAGGACTCAATCAGCCCTCTACCTGCCTGTCCATCCCACATGTCACTGCAGCAAGGTAGTGTCGAGCTGGGGGGGGCGCCATTCACATGACGGTGAACCCTCAACTTGCCCTGAGGTGGAGGCGTAGACCTACCCATCCTGTTGTAGCACTGCAGAATTCAGTGCAGGGGAATTTAGCCCCACGTCATTATATATGACTGAAAGGTTCTTTTTATAAGTTGGCTTAGTGGGTCATATATAATGCATTGTCTTAATGGAGCCATCCCCTAATCAATGCCAGGGAGATGAGTGGTGCAATAAGAACTGCTCTTTATATGCTACATAATTGTACAAGAACAGGTGTACAATAATGCAGGGAAGTGCATGACTCTCTGCAAAACTAGATT